TTTGTATCACCATTAAAGGTCACGTGATATAAAAATTTTATTGCATTTTTGAGCATAACTTACAATTCTGAGTTTTGGTGATTTTTACCAAAATTGGCCACGAGGCGCAGCAAGTTGCGGGACTAGGTGACTTGCACCATATAATTCATATTTATGGATTAACACGAGATCCAATTACAAAAGTATATATTTTCATAATGAAATATATAGAAGATGGAAGTCTTTTAAATTATTTAACAAAAGATTTTAAAAATTTAAAATGGGAAAACAAAATTAAAATTCTTTATTATATTATTATTGGGTTAAGTGATATTCATAAGGAAGAAATTATTCATCATGATCTTCATAGTGGTAATATTCTTCAAAATTCTGCTGGATCATCATTTATTACAGATTTAGGATTATCATGCCCAGCTAATCAAACATCATCAAACAAAAATGATATATTTGGAGTGCTACCATATGTTGCACCAGAAGTTTTAAGAAATAAACCATATGCAACAGCATCAGATATATATAGTTTTGGAGTTCTGATGTCTGTAGTATCAACTGGCCAACAACCTTTTAATAATTTGGCACATGATTTTGATCTTGCAATGAAAGTATGTGAAGGTGTAAGATCTGGATTCTCAAACAACACACCAAAATTCTATATTGAGCTAGCATTCAGATGCATGGATGCTAATCCAGATAAACGTCCATCTGCTGGAGAAGTTCATGAGATTATTGATTTTTGGAATCATTCATTTGATTTTGAAGATTATGGATATTCAAAAGAAAAGCAGGATGAGTTTGAATCAATTAGAAAAACATTTTATGAAATGGATGAAATAAAATTTGATCCTTCAACAATTACTGCAACAATTCATCCAAATGCTGTTTACACTAGCAGATTATTGAAATTTACAAGCCTTCCCCAACCCGTGAATTCCAATAGAGTGACAATTATCGGAAATTATAGTGGTAATTATTAACATTTAATCATTTGTTAATTTTAAAATTTACAACATTTGTTAATATCCACTCTTTTGATAAATTTTTTTTTAGATTCTCAACAGATTGAATTAAATATACCAGACGAATTACCCCAATAAATTAAAATCTTGTCGTTGTTTATTTATTTCCAACTTATATATTTTACAATTGACTACTATATATATACATACACAAAATAAATTCAACAAGCGCATATTATAAAAAATAAATAAATAAATATTGAGCCATGGATTTGACTGGATGATTATTTTTCCTTATGAATATAATAATAAATCTAATGACATTGATTACAGGTGTCAGATTTAATAAATTTTCTTATCACAAACAAGTCAACAGTACGCTTTCACGCTCCCATAACTGCGGATTTTTTTCACAGATAAGGTGAAAACATGTTGGGAAGCTTTATAATTTCCCATATCTTTTCCTCAGACCAGACTTGGCTGGAATTGATCGCTGATGAGAGTCAACATTCATGTGATGGTTGCTTTGTGTTATCCCGGCCTGCTGCAATCTCCAGAGTTGCGTCTTCTTGGTTACATGACCACCCATCTTTATCCTAAAAGTAGGATCGTTGCAAGAAACTTTCAGCCCGCATGCATATCCAGGTAACGTCAGCTCAGATTCTATGAGAGAAGATTAAGATTTACGAAGCACCATTGACAACGATTAATCTTCGATAAACTTGACAAACTCCAGGACCATACTACCCAATCAGGAATTTAGCAACATCGCTGTATCGTCGGCGAAGTCAGGTTAGCCTTGTGTACATGAGAAATGTAGAGAATGACTATGAAATGATCAAGGTAACTATGTGCTCCAACACTTGTCAATTTCCGATAATTAAACGTTATACAGCGTGTAACGAAAATAATGTTGGTGACAAAAAGTTGCATATTAATATCTCAACAAATATTGAAGGTGGGCTTTCACAATTGCAAAGCATAATTAAATAGATTTAGATTCATTTAAAATAAAAAAATTTGACATGAAATTTTTTAATAATTATTCTAACGCAAAATTACATGATTCTATATTTTCTAGAACTTTTTGTCAATTAAAAAATAAAAGAAATCCGATTATTTTTGAAAAAAAGTATATAAAACCTTGGATCAGACAGCCCTTATGTTCAATAGTATTCATTCTTTGAGCATTTTGAAATTATGTTCAACAGTGTGAAAGGAAATATTCACTTCCTGATGTATTTTTCTTGAAGAATGAGCATTTTCAGGCCAGTAATGTAAATAACATGAAACATTTTGAAGGCCTTAATTTCGTGTAACACATGCTTATAAGATGTTATAGAAAGTAGAAATAAACAAAGTATTTTATTTTATAAATGTCTTCAATGAGAGATAAGAAAGCTGGCAAAGATACGTGAATCATGAATCACCAAAATAAATTTTCTTGGTATCTAAATCTAGTTTTATAACTCCCCAGTGATTATTGTTGTTTCATGTGTATAATTAATTATATAAATTTTTTAAATTTTTTCTGATAAGTGACCTAATAATTTTCATGTCAACTAAAAAACGCATTCCATTTTTAATAATATGAAAAATAAATTAACAAATAACAAATAAAAAATAATAAATAAAAAATAATAAATTAAATAATAAAGTATACCAACTTATCACTTTTCAATGAATTTTATATTGAAGCAAAAATCCATTGTAACATGATAATTTGTTTGAAACTGTAATAATGTTATGAATAAATATAGCCAATGTTTTAAATTTATTATTCATAATTACTAAAACTAATAGTGTTGACATACCAAAAATTCGAAATTAATTTAGAAATGGTTATTAGGAAAACAAGTTTTTAAACGAAAATGTGACAGTGAGATTCGTGTCTTTTACTCACACAACGACATCACTCAGATCAAGACAATAATAGTCTATTTTATCAATTCAAAAAAATACAAATAGGACGGCCGTCCCCACATTTTTTTTTCGTTTTTTTTTGTAGAGAAATTCCTCTCAGGCCATTTCAGCACACGGAACTCAACTTTCTACGATGTCCCTGCCCATCTTCAAGCAATCAAATTTACAGACGATGAGCACATTCAAACTATGAAATCATTTATTCTTTTTCATGAAAGATGCTGACTGATTCAAGGTAATTATAATGCTACAACTTTTGCCAACTTATATTCAACTCTTGACATGAGATCAACTATTTCATTTCTCATTCAGGTTGCTTGATATAAAGGGATTTTCTTTTAAATATTTTCTATTTATATTCATAGAAATAGATAATAATTTATTTTAAATTTATTTACATACATTGTTATTTTTTCTTATTTTCTGGAGGAATCTATAGTTAGACAATAAAAGGTCTCTAGCTATATAATTATTCAAAAGAGGGGAAACCTATGCAAATTTTTTTTTTGAAACTGCGCCACAACAACAATACATCTGCTCAAATCTTTAAGCAATAATAAGAGCTATTAAGCAAATTAAGTGATTTTTTTTAGATGTTTTGTCTTAATTAAATACATCATGGCAATAAAATTACCAAACCTCATTAAATTTGACATTTAATCTAAATAGTTTTGTGATAAGAGAAAAAATTCTTTTTTAAAAAAAGATTTTTGATATCTATTAGAAAATAGAGATTTGAAGGTGTCAATAGTTCCTTGGTGCACATATAATTGTTAGTGATGGCAAACTACCTGTTAGTATTAACAAAAAAAAAGGAATGATTTGAATCAAATTCCACATAATAATGGTATTTTTGAAAGAGGATATATTGTAAGAATTACTTTTCTTAATGGAAATAAAAACAATATTATAATACATTTGTCAAACAGGTACTTTAATTATTGTAAAAATACAAGTTATCTTTATCATCTTAAAAATGATGTCCTTTATATAATAAAATTACATAGATTGATATGATATAAATAAAATATAAATAATAATAAAAGATTGATAAAATATAAATAAAATAATCATAATAACTCTTATCAATCTATCCAGAAGATTTGTGGACATAGATAAATAATAAATAGTAATTAAAGACATGAAATAATTGATGTTACAAATAATGATTAATTATGTGTCACGTTTCCAGATGTAAATATTAATGTACTACACAAGACGTTGTATATGACTACAAAGTAAATTGTTACATATATGGTGTTTTGTGAGGTGAAATTATTAAATAATTGAATCATTAGTTTTTGGATTTGTCAATATGGAATTTAATTGATAGAAGGATAACATTACAGAATAAATTAAGTAAAAAATTTACAGTTATAAATAGAAATTTTAAAGCATATATTAAAAATTTTTTTCCTCAATTATTATTAGGAAAGCAACTCTTATGATTAAAAAAAACCAAAGAGTATCTAACACCAGATGCGCTAAAATTACCATGTAGCAATTCATTACTTTGAAAATATATAATATTTCCTCACTTCAATTCTACCACTAGGTTTATTTCTGGAAACACTAGTTCGCCTCCCTCAAATTCACCCAAGGGTACAACCACACACAAACTATTATCAAGATCCTTAATATCATGATGAAGATCTGTTAGTGTGTTGAAGTTGATAACTAACATGGTAAATGTATTGAACAGTTTTTTCACCTATAAAAGTAATAATAATATTATTAATATTCTCCTTAAAATATTAAATTATATATATATAGAAACATAAATAATATTAACCTGTTCGGGAAAAACATTTGATGCCAACTTTTGATACAAACTGGGCCAGTGACTTTGTAATTTATCAGCAATTTTGTTGGCAAGTGGTGTGATCCCATTAATCAACTCATCAACACATCTATTATGAATTATTATTTTATTAGTATTAATGATTAAAAAATTTAACTGCATACAAGTTTATAAAGCATTTAAACTTACTTTTTATGTTCAATTCAATCATTGCACAAATAAGCATCAGAATTATATGGTAGTGTTGAGTAAATACGAAAAATACCAAAAGATTTCTACATTGTCACTTTTAAATTGTGTTGATTGATGCTTGAGATTTTCTTTTAAATCCATATAATATCTATGGACTGAAAACTCTGCTTGATTTAAAATTTTTAAATCAGATTCAGAAACATCAAAAATTCTTATCAATGTTTCCCTTTTAATGTTGGAATAATGAGATTCACCTAAGAAATAAAATAAATGTTAATAATTGATTTGAAAAAAAAATACTTTTTTTAAAAAAAAAGGAAATTTACCATTTATCCTTGTATATTGCATTGTAATTAATTTGTCAACTTTTTTTTTTCTTCTTCTTCATTAATTGCATGAGAGCTTTCCCCTTTTTTGTCTTCTTCATCTTTTAAATATTTAGCGGCAAATGATATGCTTTCTCTTTTTAAATCATAAGGTGATAAATTTTTATTATTTACAAATTGTAAGTTTACAGCTAAATCTATACAAAGGGATTTTAAACTAACATTATAAATTTTATTATAACGATCTATATTATTGCTATTATTTAGCATTTCATTTTTTTTTTCTAAAATTTCCTTTTTTTCATTTTCATATTATTATTATATTTAGTTATTATTTTAATTGCTTCTAAATATACTTTAGAAGGTGTGTATGTGGGTGATTAACCCAAAAAAAATGTAAATTCATTTTTCTTTCTATATTATTATTATTATCTACAAATATTTCATATCTTGACTCATCACTAAAAATCACATAATTCCATTCATTGACCCATTTTATCCTCGTATTAGCCCATCCAAATCGTTTTTTGCGATTTTGTTCACTAACAAAGGGGTTTTTTTTTGCAACTCTTCCATAATAGCCCTTTGAGTGCAAAGCACGCTGTACAGTTCTAGTACTTACTTCTATAGGTTTGGCGATATTGAATTCATCTTTAATTTCTTCGACAGCTAATTTTCTTTTTTTTTTTACAATTTTTACAATTTCTCTCTTGTCACGTTCATCCAAAATCTGGGGCCTTCCAGTACGTGGTTTAGTAGTAAAGGACGAATTTTTATACCTAGTAATATTGTCAGAAATAGTAGATTTTGGAATTTCTAAAGCTTCAGCTATTTCTCTTATCGTATGCCTTTTACCCTTCCATAAACCATAGATAGCACCACGCTCAAAATCTGTAAGTTCTCTTGTTTTTGTCATTTTAATAAATTCAAAAAATTCAAAACAATAATTTTTTAAATTTTGTGATTTTCGAAAAATTTTCGAAAATTTTCTCAATACATACAACTCTATCAATTTCTAACGAATTTTAATCATCATTTTTTTATTTTGTTCGTTATGCTTTAAATTCTTTTATGAAGTTTTCAGACTTTTTATTATTATGTGGGGTATTTTATGGGACAAAAAAAAGTCTTGGGAACCAATATTTTTAAACGATTTTAAGAATTTACATATCACCCAAAAACTATATTTTATTAGATTATAAATATTAATGGAAATATGCAATTTCGAACATTTGAAATGCAGTTACTTAGGACAAAAAGCCATGTTTTCTCACTAGTTTTCGAGTATTTTTGTGTAAAACACGCAGAAATGTCGCGGAAATTTACATGATCTACATCTTGTCCGGATACTTTTGGCAGGTGAGTGTATTTTTAAAAAATTAATAAAATTTTTTAACTCAAATTATAAAGTATATAATTTGTATTATCTTCTGAAATCAAATCATCTGGTACTGGTCGTATACCTTGCCATTTTGAATTAATATCTTTACCAGTAGATTTTTGTGACCATAAATTCTTTCTGTCTTCTGTAGAATTATTTAATTCAACCTTAATATAAATACATTTAATTAATGAATATATTTTAACATTTTAATTAATGAATAACAAAAATTTTAATCAAAATAATTACATCATGATTTTCTCTTACAGGCGAAAAGTTTATCAATTGAGATTCAACAACTTTATGAAAATTTCTAGACATTTTTTGAAATTATTTTTCCTCCCAAAAAACTTTTTCTTCTTCCTGATTATTTTTTACCAAAGAGACTAATGGTTTGTTTCCTTGGTTAAAAGATTGAGAAAATTTTTCTTTTTATGTTTTATATTCTTCCTCACTAATTTTTCCGTCAATGAATTATTTTTTTTTATGGGAATTTTTTTTCATACTGTGTGATAGTAAAATAAGAACCGATGGAGAGGTCACCACTTTGCCGTTGATAGTAGCATGCAGGTACATACATATGACCCATCAGTAAATACAACTACATATTGGTTTTTGTTTTATTTATAATGATATAATTTCCATATTTCCAATTGTTGTAAAAAAAAAGCTCTTTCATCTAAAATATTGTGAGTGTGCAATCTGAGTTTCCTAATTAATAGGTGATTTATAGCTCAACACACAGCCTACCTGCTGACTTACAGTCAAAAGTTAATAACTTTTATCTTCCAGATAAAAGGGTTCCTAGGTTCTATATGGATAAGTACAGGGTGTAACAAAACTTTTGGAAAATTTTTCATGCATTTCAAATGTTAATAACATTCTGAAAATAAAAACTATTTGTGTCATATTTTGAACACATGAACAATATGTACTAAACTAAATTAATACATTATTAGATCATTTGTTTTGATTTGATTTTGTTGTAAAATTGTTAACGTAATGTCATCTTCTGATAAAGATACTCAAAGAAAAAGTATATTACAATTGTGACAGAATGGAATAACTTCTGCAAAAGAAATACATTCCAGAACTGGCATTACAATGTCTACTGTCTATTATAATCTTAAAAAATTGAATGAAAAAGGTGTTAATTCGAGAAAATCTGGAGGTGGTTGTCCCAAAAAAATTACTGTGCATGAATCAAGAGCGATTGGCCAATACTTGCACCATGATCCAAGACTTTCCACAAGGACTTTGTCAAACAAATTAT